CTGCCTTGCAGCCCTGTTCTTGTTTGACCTTTTTGTGCATGGAGTAATAGCTGGCCTCTGTCCCCAAGAGCTTACAATCTGAGTGACTTTCCCACCGTCATACAGTCAGTAACAAAGCCATGAATAGCGCCTCGATTGTCTGACGGCCAGTCTAATGCCGTGTTGACTGTAACACAGTTTGGTAAGATGGCTGAAGCATAGTTTGGTACTATCTATGCGGACAAGTACTGAGCCCGTGATTCTCCAACAGGCCTTTGTAGCTGGGTCCTTCGATACCAGAGGAAATTCTCTGTGCGATGGGGAGAACTTAAAAATGTTTGATTCTGGAAAATGAACATTAAGGAAGCCAGTGGGACATAAACTGAGTGGGAATGGTGCCATTTTCACCTTGTACATCCCTTTTGTTTCAGTGCATTGTACTATAATCATGACTTTAATTTAAAGAAAACCAAAACTTTTTATAATTTTTAAATTTGCTTTAAAAAACAACCAAAACAAAAAACACATCCCACTCCTGGTTCTGCAGCTTCTATTTATTGTCATCGCGTGGCAGAGCGATAGAAATGTGAATTGCCTTGATTGTATTTTTTGGTGCACAAAGATCCAATTCCTCTCCCGCTTGGCTAATCGTGTTCTCTATTGTGTGTATGTGAAAAGGGCACTTTTATGGTAACTTCATCCTTTTTTTATATTAAAAAACGGTAGAAATGTATTGTCTATCCGACTCCTTGTGATGTCCAGCTGTTGTATAGGACAGTTCTGCGTATCTAGATTGCAAGTGTCATCTTAGTCATGAAACATGCTCGGCCTTAGCGATCACCTGGACAGGAGGAGGTTTTCCACCCAGAAGTGACGAATATATTAACCCTGATCTCAGTGTGGGGGGATGTATATTAAACCTGAGCGCAGCCCAAGCTGTGGCCTTGTCTAGGATTAAGCACTTAAGAGTTGGTCTTTAAACATGGCTCCAGCTAAGGCAGTTCACAATGCTGGGGCAGCCAGATGGCTTTAGAATGGTGTTTAAAACCCTAGACTGAACGGTGGTTCCCATTTGGCTTGGCCCCATCTATACTGCCTGACCTAAGTTAGAAACTGGTTTAGCTGGCATGAGCGGGAGGGATAGTTCAGTGGTTTGAGCATTGGCCTGCTAAACCCAGGGTTGTGAGTTCAATTCTTGAGGGGGCCATTTAGGGATCTGGGGCAAAAATCTGTCTGGGGATTGGTCCTGCTTTGAGCAGGGGGTTGGACTAGATGACCTCCTGAGGTCCCTTCCAACTCTGATATTCTATGATTTTAACTTTAATTTGGAAGCACACAGGGATGTAGTTCGAGAAATTGCCTTCCAAGGGGAGACCTGGACTTGTACAATGTGGTGGGGGTTGGAAGATCTTGTGTTGTGTGTCAGGAAGGTAGGTAGGTAGGTGGGAGGGGGCAAACAAAACAACTATTTAGGCAGGGGATGGGAGTTTGTGCGTTGGCATTTTACCAGTGGAGACCCGGGGTCAGATCCTGCTTGGTGTATGAGGTGAGTTTCTCTCCTCATAGTCCATATTCCTGTATAGCACCACACACCCCAATACCATTACCAGCACAGTTGTGTCCCAGTCTTTGCTCTGTGATGGGGAATACTCCTCCTTTGCTGTAGGAGTAAAGTGAAATGGCAGAGCCTGGGGCTGAGGAGGAACCCATCCTGCAATTGCAGATGGTACTGAACTACATTGGGGAAGCTTCTCTCCCTGGTAGAAGCTTCTTCCGTGCTCTGCTCCACCCAGTCATATTAATCCCATCACCCTTGTGAAGCAAGGTGTAATCGCAAACTTAAAATCCAGCCGATCCCTTTCCCTTGAACTGATTCATGTTCCCACCTTATCCCTTCCTCCTGCCTCCCCCACCAAAGTCATGGTATGGAAGTTCTCCAACATCCAGTCCATCCTCATGCGAAAGTGTGCTGCTGTATCTGGATGTGGATTTCAGACCAGGCTTCGTTAACTTCCTGCCCCTCTGAAGGCTTCTAGTGCAAACCAACAGGATATGATGATAAAATAGACCAGTGGATTCGTTAGGCCCTCCTCCAGAAAAGTCTGAGGAGGAAAACAGTGGGGCCAAATTCACGGCCAAAATCAGTGGGCTTACACTAGCTCAGCGGTTCCCAAACTGGGTATGAGAGTATACGGGAGAAATTGTGTAAAGGTGGATTTTATGTATTTATTTCATTTTCCTAATAGATTACTCAGTGGAAGCTTTAAAATTTTGGGAATTTGTTATATACAATTACGGCAGCTAATTTACTTCAAGATGTACCAGTGAGAACACAGATACAGAGATGCTGGTGTACAGAGCAATCCCCTCCAATCACCATACAGGGCGGGTTCAGTTGCCGTGCAACTGTCCAGTCTGAAAGAACTCAGAACTTAGGGGGTTTTTTGGTGGTATACGTGGCACTGTAACTATAACTGTACGTAACCACGAAGTGTGGACAGATGGCTAAAGACAGGTAGTGTTAAGTATCATACAAAGTATCCGTGATGAGAAGGGTGAGGGTATGCGGGCAGCTGGTATATCTGGAAGGGTACGCAATAAGAAAAAAGGTTGGGAACCTCTGCACTAGCTTAGTCCAGAGTTGTTCAGTGGGCCTAGTGCCTGGAATGAGAACTGAATTGAAAAGGCCGTGCATATGTTCCCCTTCCCGGAACTATCTGCACTTTTTCTCTTGTTGCACTCTGTTTCCATTTGTCGGAAGAGGCACCGTAGACGCTTCGTGCCATTTGTCCCCCAGGGTGAAAATCTAGAGCTCAGAGACTTCCATAAAGCACCCCTGTGTGCAAATAAGAACATACATAAGAACGGCCGTACTGGGTCCATCTAGCCCAGTATCCTGTCTGCTGACAGTGGCCAATGCCAGGTGCCCCAGAGGGAGTGAACCTAACAGGTAATGATCAAGTGATCTCTCTCCTGCCATCCATCTCCACCCTCTGACAAACAGAGGCTAGGGACACCATTCCTTATCCATCCTGGCTAATAGCCATTAATGGAATTAACCTCCATGAATGTATCCAGTTCTCTTTTAAACCCTGTTCTAGTCCTAGCCTTCACAACCTCCTCAGGCAAGGAGTTCCACAAGTTGACTGTGCTCTGTGTGAAGAAGAACTTCCTTTTATTTGTTTTAAACCTGCTGCCCATTAATTTCATTCGGTGGCCCCTAGGAGTGTCCATGTATGATAGGGAGGACCTTCCTTGTCCTTCGCAGGCTGAGGAGGAGGAGCCCGTTGCTGTTGTAAAGCGCCTCCTGCATCTAAAATAATCCCAGCAGTCCAGGCTTTCAGTCCGTGGCCATTCCGGAGTTGAAGCATTTAGGAGAGCGTTGGGGCGTGTGACAGCCAAGTAGCTGGTGGTAGGAGAAGGGCAAGGGCTAAAATGTCTGAAGTCCCTACATAACCCACGTACCTCATCACTAGTGTTAACTGCTGACTCCCTTCTTCAGGACCAAGACAAGGTGGAGGTGCTATTCCTTTTGAAGCAGGTGATGAACAATAGGAAACCAGTGATCTCACCACAATGGATCTTGGGGGATTTTGCTGCGAGGAACGGGGGGGATGGAACAAACTTGCTCAGTGAATTGTTGTAATTTAGAGGCAGGTGATGATCATTGGAAAAAACAAGTTAAACATCTATCAGGAATGGTCTTAGTCCTGCCTTAAGTGTAGGGGACTGGACTAGATGACCTACTGAGGTCCCTTCCAGTCCTACACTGCTGGGATTCTCTATTTCAAGCGCACAGATTGTGCGGCGTCCCCGAGGAATGGGCCGGTCGGGTGCACTGATTCTGGGTGCGTTGTAGACGTGACTTTGATAAGAGGGTTCGGGCAGTGCTCTGGATCAGCCCTCCCTTTGGATGCTCTACTTAGTCTTTGAACCTTTTGGTGCAAGGTCAAAAAATGACACGCATTGGTGACCACCTCAGCTGTCCTGATCTCCTAGCCCTGTGGAGCTTTCCCCGGCCTGGCTGTGTATGCTGGAGTACTCAGAGTAATATCTAGCACCTCTCAGCTCTTCTGGAGCCTGATTCAAAGACGACTGAAGCCAATTTGCTTTGCAACAGGTTCTTGTAGCGCTTGCATCTCCAATGGCCCGTGCAATCATTAACTAACGAACCCACCCACAGCAGAGACTGGTCAGCATGATCTCGGTTTTTAAAGACAGGAGAATAGGCACAGTGAGATTATGGGGCCTATTCCTGGCCCCACAGCAACTGAGTGGCGGAACTACAGGCTCCCAGCCCTATGGTCCGTCCACTAACCCACACTACCTCATTAGCTAGCGAAGGTGGTTTTGGCTCCAGGTGGGATGTTCCATGGCGGCTTCAGTGCCTTCAAAAACGTCACCTGCTTCTCTAAACCCCTTACAAAGTTTTCTCTCCCATGATTGCCAGGCAACTTTGGCCGTCACTCAGCGCAGCTTTATGGGTTCTGACTCTTGGACCAACGGAGACGAAGCTCCTCCCTTCTACTCAGCCCTTCCAGCCGAATATTAATCTGCCTAAAGCCTGGTTAGTCTCTCTGTCAGTACAGGAATGACTTCACCCGAAGGTCTGAGTTTCCAGTGCCTCCCGGCCAGTCTGCTTTTGGCCAGCTGGGAACCTTCTCTCTCTGGGGGGAGAAAAAGGGAGCCCCACAAACTTCGCTGCACGTCAACAAACCTCGAAGGGTTTGGCTGCGTTTTGTTTATCTTTCGCCAAGGCCAGAATTATTTCCAGCTGCATAAATACCCCTGTTTAAGTGCTCCTGGGCTCTGATCCTGAGCAATCGCCGATTAGAGTTAGGATTCCAAGAAGTCGGCATCAGTCCCCTTTAAATATGTTGCACCATCCTGAAACCTAGCTGGGAGAGCGCCGCGAAGGCTCAGGTTTGTTTTTGAAAGGGGCGCGTCTTGCCAAGTTTGATGCAGTGAGTTCAGGGACGCTGACCCATGAGCCTTGTTGTCTTTCACTCTGGGAATAAAGTGCTGCGTCGGCGTATTTCCCCCCCACCGGAGTCAGTGAAGCGGCAGCTGCCATGGCGGTGGTGCTGTTCCTGGTGGCCCTGCTGGCGTCTCTCGGGGTGCCCGTTACTGCCAGTTCCCTTTTGGAGGCTCAGCTGCTGTCCCCCCGAGATGTGGCTCGTTCTGCGGTCGAGGCCTATAATCAAGAAACGGGAACGCAGGCAGTGTTCAGGCTGTTCAAGCTCAAAAGCTTCCACAAAACAGTAAGAACTCATTGGTTTTGGATTCTGCTTTTCCCCATAGACGTTAGCCCATAGTGAAGGGGGGGGACGTGTGGGGGGGGAGGCTTTTAAAGTATATGTATAATAGCAGGAAGAACACCAGGAACAGAACTGAGGCAGGACTGTAAGTGCTGAAGGTACAATGAGGAGTGCGATATAGGCAAGCCTATAAATCAAGTCCTATATAAAGCCAGATTTCCTGCTGAGTTCTCCCCATGGGCAAAGCTGGTCTACATGGGAGTTGAACTGGTTTAACGGAAGGTGTGAATTTAAGCCAGGATGGGGGGCACTTATTTCAGTGTAGCTTTAAGTAGATCGGAAAGGGATTTAATCTAAATGGAAATAAGCCACCTTGAAATGGAAATGTCTCCGTGTGGGTTTGCACCACTTTTACCAAATTGGTTTCAAAATTCACTTTAAACTGGTGCAACTTTCCCCTGGAGACTAACTCCTCCTCTCCTAGGAAACTAGGCTGCCCTTCTCCTCTAGCCCGGGGGCTTGCAGAGCGCTGGACAAACCAGTTCAGTGTGGCTTTGCTGGGAAGAGGGGCTGTGCAGAGGATTCTGCAGGGCTCTGCATTCGCTCTCTCCTGGACTCCAGATCAAGGGGGCTGCAAATCCCCAAGTGTGCTGGAGGCTGGTGGGTCGAACGAGCCATGGGAACCGCGCAAGTTGGCTGCTCCGAAGCAGCCTCCTGGTGGTCAGAATGGATTTTTTTTTTAAATGGGGACCCCAAAACAGCTGCTCTGGGGCAGGGGGTCCTAGAGAGCTCCAAAGTTTCTGGAGCCATTGAAGTGGGATGTGCTTGACTCTTGGAATGTCTTTTTTTTTTTTTTTTTTTTTTTGTATTGAGGCAGGGTGGGGATCAACCCGAGCAGGGGAGAGCAGGCAGCAGCTCTCTCTCTCTCTCTCTCTCACACCCCCCTCCCCAACAGAGCTGCGGAAACAGCTGGTGGAGTCTGGAGGGAAACTGCCCAGAGCTGGGTGGGGGAGAGGCCAATAGCAAGCAAGGCAACAACTGGCACCCGAAAAGAAGGGACACAGTATGTGGGGAGCCAGTGGTGGGGAAGGGAGCTGTAGCAAAAGGAAGAAAATGACCAAACCAAAACAGCCAGAGAGCATAGTAAGGCAAACAAGGGGAAGTGACAGGAATAGAGAAAGTGTCCGCGAGCTACGGGCCTGTAAGCCAGAAAGGACGGGAGGGAAAATAGCCAGCACATTCCATCAACTGTAAAGAAAGATTGCACAAGAGGATTGCTCAAGATCTAACTAAACCTCTGAAGAACTTTTCCTCCAAACTCAGGGCTTACAGAGGATGGAAACTGACAAGGGAACGTAGAACGGTGGGGTCTATGTTCCAGAGCGCTGGTTTTACCAATTCAGAGTTCTGTTTATTTCACAAATGGAGGTTAGCTACACAGTGAGGTTAATTAAGATAATAGCTCATTTCCAACAGAGAACAGTACTTCACCCTGGAAGCCTAAGCAGTGGTTCCTGCTAAAATAACTCACTCTGGTTTACTTGTGATTCTTCCCCCACTTAATTGATCCCAGCTAATTGAGATAAGACATAATTGGCCCTCTCGATTGCTGCTGCCTCTCCTTATCGCTTCGATTCAGAACGCCCCGCCCCGCCCCCTACTGGTTGGAGTGTTCTCTTTACAAAAGAGAGAAAAATCCATCTCCCTGAGTTCTGAGAGTCAAGCTGGCTGCTTGCTTTCTTCCGTGTGACCTGTAACACCGATGCCGTAAGCCACCGTCTGGCCCTCCGTGCCACCCGCTGAAGCCCCGTGGGCTCCAAAAGGCTTGCCCAGATGTGGCCGAGTGGACCTTGTGCATCCCGAGACCTCTCTGAGGAGGAGCAGACTGCAGCTCCCTCCCCCCTTAGCCATGTCCCCTCTGCAAGGCTAGCAGGAGTAAGGAAGAGGCATTTCCGTCTCAGCAGCGGTGACTCTGAACAGGGGAGGGAGCTGGCGTTGTCACATAGACGCTCTTCAGCACAGAACTTTACTGCCTGTCTGACTCCTCTATGTACCATCCCTATTTTACAAATGCATAAACCAAGGCCCTGACGTGAATCAGCCTCAGTCACCGAATGAGGGAAGGGGCTGGGGCTGGATCCAGGACTCCTGACTTCCAGGCCCGGCTGCCAGTGTAAACAGAGCTGCTTGGAAGTGCCAAACGTTTGCTTACGTCTCCTTTTGGGCCAGGTCAGCCTCTGCCAGTGTCCCTTTTTGCTGGTCACGCCTACCCGTGGGCTGCTGCAGAACCGGCTGGGGGGAGGGGACGGCAGAGCTGGGAATGAGAGGAGAAATTATAACGTGTGGGCAGGGGGACGGCCTCCTTCAGCGGTGAAATCTCTGTTACACCTGTCTTGAATGTTATTTGACCAAGGGTTATTTTACCGGAGGAAACCCAAGTAACTCAACCCCCAGCCACTGGAGGATGGGAGCATTTACACTCCCAGCTAGGGCCAGTCCCAGTTTTGGCAGGGCCCTATGTGGATCAGGATGAGCCAGGTGCCATCTGTTTCTTTCCCCATCTCTCCATCCCCACAACAATCCCCCTTGCCTGCATGTGCCCCTCCTGCTGCTGGCTGAAGTTCCCCCGGGGCAGAGACCTATGCACCATTTAAATCAGGGGTGGGCAAACTACGGGCTGCATCCGGCCCTTCAGATGTTTTAATCCAGCCCTCGAGCTCTGTGCGGCTCCTGTAAGCAGCAGCATAGCCCCCCCTCTGGTTCCTACATGGAGGGGCAGCCAGGGAGCGCCACACACTGCCCCCACAGCTCCCATTGGCCAGGAACCGCGGCCAATGGGAGCTGTGGGGCAGTGCCTGCCGCCTGGCCGCGCCTCTGCATAGGAGCCGGAGGGGGTACATGCTTCTGGGAGCTACTTGAAGCAAGCACCACCTGGAGCCTACACCCTGAGCCTCCCCCTGTGCCCCAACCCCCTGCCCCTCTCCTGCTTTCTGAACCCCTTAGTCCCAGCCTGGAGCATCCTCCTGCACCCCAAGCCCCTCATCCCCATCCCACCCCAGAGCCCTCACCCCCCCCCCAACCTCCTGCCCCAGTCTGGAGCCCCCTCCCACACCCTGAACTCCTCGTTCCTGGCCCCACTCCGGAGCCCATACCCCCAGCCACAGCCCTCACCCCCTCCCGCACCCCAACCCCAATTCCGTGAGCATTCATGGCCCACCATACAATTTCCTTACCCAGATGTGGCCCTCGGGCCAAAAAGTTTGGCCCACCCCGATTTAAATCCTCAAAATAGGTTTGGGCAGGACCCAAGTGGCACAGATGCCGGTGCAGGCGCTCAGCTCCCAGGTGAATTTCACCTTCGGTGGATGTCTTGCCGCTGCTCCCTAGCGTCTTCCACCAGTCTGGGTCGCTCTGTGGTGGCCTGGTCTGACCCAGGTCCCAGCATGTACCAAAGGACGCCAAGAAGTGCTGGGGGAGGAGGGGCAGTGAACAGGGGCATGCGGAGGCGTTTGAGAGAGACTCCTTTTGGGCAGGCACGTTCTGTTCCCCCACCAAGACGTGGGGTCGAAGGAGCTCGCTCTCCTTCCCCTCCCCCCCCCACTGCCCATGGCTGGAGAGTTCTGTGCCGCTGATGATTATTGGGGGGAGCGTGTGCACTTGCTTGCCCCCACCTTGTGCATGCCCCTGGCAGTGAGGGAATTCCATCCATCTTGACCCACTGTGACCGGAGTCAGGCAGGGCACCAGATGGTAAAGCAGGGATGGCTGGTGAATAAGGGGAGTGTGTGGTGCAGGTCTCTATGCTACCCCCTTGCCTAAGACCACCGTGTTAGGATAGTACGAGCGTGCACCATTAGACACGCACCCAGAGATCAGTGCCTAATAGACGCCTGATTGCAAACCGGATGCGCGCACAAGTAGCTATTGGTCTCCTTAAAGCCCCCTGTGGGGTTGCCATGTTCCTCGAAAAGCAAGCGGCTTCCTTGACGCGAGCGGGTGCAGCGGATGCCTGGGGAGCCCTGGCTCGTGCACGAGGCATCGCTTTGTGAGGCCATTCAAAGATTTGTCCTTGTACCTGTAGCAATTTGACTGGGGCACGCACTTCAGCATCAACTTCACCATCAAAGAGACGAACTGCCGGAAAAGCGTGGCTAGCTACCGCCTCGAGGACTGCAGATATCGGCCAAACGGGGTAGGTGTGAAACACAGTTGCCAACTTTCACGTGGTAAATAAGCCCCGTGACTTTCACAATAAGCCAAAAATCAAGCTAATCCCATTTCAAAACAAGCCAATCCCTAAGAACCCCAACACTCCATGTGACTAGATCCCCCGTGTGCAGTCTGGGATTGCGGTGGGCCCACTGTGTACCCCTGACTCTCTTCCTCCCCTCTTGAAGAAGCTACAAGCCAAAAACTAGCCAACCAGCAACTCCCAAGCCAATTGAGCCAAAAACAAGCCCAATTTCTGCATTTTTCTCCTGGGTTTGGCATGTCTGTTGAAACTGTCCCCTTTCTCGTTAGGAGCATAGTAGCTGCCAGCCTGGATCAGACCCCGGGTCTGTCTAGTCCTGTCTCCTGCCTCCAGCAGTGGCAGGTGCCAGCTGATTCAGAGAAAGGTGCACAATGCCCCCCAGTGGAAGTGTCCTCCTGACCCCCAGCAGAGATTGGCTTGAGCCCTGACGCATGAGGGTTCATATCCCTTCCAAAACTCACGTTTGTTTTTAATACTATCGCTCTGGATATCCTCGTTACCCATACAAATGTCTGATCCCTTTTTTGAATCCTGCTAAGCTCTTGGCCTCAGGGATGTCTTGTGGCAGTGAGTTCCACAGGCTGTTGTGTGAGGGTAAAAACATGCATTTCCTTGTGCTGCCTTTTAAATGTCATTGAACGTGCCCTTGCTTTTCTGTCATGGGGCTGGGAGAACAAAAGCCCCCGATCGCCCCTCTGTACCATTCATTTTGTTCCAGTTTTCCCTGTTCTAGTTTGGGCGCTCTTGCTCATCTGAGCTAGACATTTACACACACATTATCGTTGTGGCTGTTGCCATAACTCAGAAAGCTCTGAAGGTGAAAGGAGGCGTAAGTGCAGCCTCAGCCATGGAGTTTCACACCAATCTGCCACTCCTGCTGACCTGGCATTACATCACGCCTAGCGTTTTGCTAAACTCCTAGAAATGAAATCAGGGGCAGATCATCCGGTTTCGGGTTTCACTGGGCACGGATCTGTTCCTACTTGTCTGCACGCTGTCCAGCGCGCCTGGGTCACATGACGGGAATCGGGGACAATCAATGGGTTTTGTTGGATGGGAACTTTGGCAGGTTCAGCTGCATTTGATCAAATCAGAAATTCAGAGGGAAACTCTGGGCACGGCCCCCTGCAAACCAAACCTGCCCATGCTTCACGTGGCTCCGGTCACGGCGAGATGTTCGTGCCTCACCACGTCCATCATGTCACATCCTGATGCTCCTCCCCGATTTAGGAGGAGTTTGCATGCCAGTGGCTGCAGTTGTTGTATGTAAAACACCCCTGTAAAGCATTCTGCATGGCCCTGTGCCATCTTCATGTCTCGGTAAAACAGCCTCAGAGGGGAAGTGTGTGGGGCTGGTACCGCCGCACGATGGTGGACCCAGGCTTTGACCCAAGCAGAATGATGTGGCATGGGAACACATCACGAGAAGGGTGGTGAAGCACTGGAATGGGTTACCTAGGGAGGTGGTGGAATCTCCTTCCTTAGAGGTTTTTAAGGTCAGACTTGACAAAGCCCTGGCTGGGATGATTTAGTTGGGGGTTGGTCCTGCTTTGAGCAGGGGGTTGGACTAGATGACTTCCTGAGGTCTCTTCCAACCTTAACCTTCTATGATTTGCACTCCAGGGCCTGTGTTCTTATTTGCACGCACAAGAGGGTCTCCTCCCCAGACTCTCTAGTCATGCTGTTATTTTAGTAAGCAAGTGAATGTAGGGCTGGTGAGTTTCTTTGTACTATGGTGCTGTCTAGAGGCCCCAACCGAGATCGGGGCCCCAGTGTGCTAGGTGCTGTACATAAAGTAAGTCTCTGCCCCCAAGAGCTTGCAATGTAAGGAGCTAAGACAGAGGAAGGATAGCAGGGCAAACAGACACAGAGAGAGGTAGTGACTGGCCTGTGGTCACCCAACCCAGCAGTGGCAGAAGAGAAGCCAGTTCTCTTGACCCTCTTCACATAGCGCCAACGAAGGAAGGAGGAAATTGGTGTCCAGCCCTCTTCAATCATTGGCTTGTGTCTGCAAGGTTGCCAGTTCCAGCGGTAGGTGTTGTGGTTTTTTTGTTGTTTGTTTGTTTTTGTGGTCACTTCTAGGGAACACGGTTGAATCCACTCGTGCTGCAGAACCTTTCTTTTGGGCATGTGTAGTTTGTATCCTCGATGGACAGTGGTGCTGAGCTGGGAGTGTATTCACTGTCAAAGCTGCCTGCCCTTTATCTTTGAGCTGTGGACTGTTTAGGATCCTGTGCTCCAGGGGTAGTCAATAGGCCAAATCTCAACCACCAGATGCTTTTGAACAGACTCCATAGAATCATAGAATATCAGGGTTGGAAGGGACCTCAGGAGGTCATCTAGTCCAACCCCCTGCTCAAAGCAGCACCAACACCAACTAAATCATCCCAGCCAGGGCTTTGTCAAGCCTGACCTTAAAAACCTCTAAGGAAGGAGATTCCACCACCTCCCTAGGTAACCCATTCCAGTGCTTCACCACCCTCCTAGTGAAAAAGTTTTTCCTAATATCCAACCTAAACCTCCCTCACTGCAACTTGAGACCATTACTCCTTGTTCTGTTATCTGCTCCCACTGAGAACAGTCTAGATCCATCCTCTTTGGAACCCCCTTTCAGGTAGTTGAAAGCAGCTATCAAATCCCCCCTCATTCTTCTCTTCTGCAGACTAAATAATCCCAGTTCCCTCAGCCTCTCCTCATAAGTCATGTGCTCCAGACCCCTAATCATTTTTGTTGCCCTCTGCTGGACTCTTTCCAATTTTTCCACATCCTTCTTGTAGTGTGGGGCCCAAAACGGGACACAGTACTCCAGATGAGGCCTCACCAATGCTGAATAGAGGGGAATGATCATGTCCCTCGATCTGCTGGCAATGCCACTCCAAAATCATTATTGTTATTTTCTTCTCTGGAGTCTGGACCTTGACTATACCTTGACCAAGGAATTTGGACCATGACAAAAAATAATTGACTCCCCCTGCTGTACTCAAACCTGACTCAGAACAACACCGGCCGGGGGCTGTGTGGCATCTCCGGAGAATTACACCTGCCACAGAACTTAAAACTAGTGACGTGTTTAAGCCAGATGTTCCAGCCTCTCTAGTGGCCTCAAGAAGATGTTGCTTTGCAAAGGATCTATTGTCCCAAGCTATAAGGCATTCGAATCACTACAGTTACTGCAAGGAGTAAAATGATTCGATCCATCTTAAATATTGTTGCAAAGAAATTAACAATTCAGGCAAGAAGGCTCCATTTCCAGCAGTGTGAGGTACAGGACTCCAAAAAACATAGTTCCCATTTTAATAAACAAAAAACCAGCATTGTCCCATTTGTGGTCAGATCATTTACGTTCCTTAGATAATAAAACCAACTGCACAGCAACCTTGGAAAATCAGCCTCCAAACAGGGGCCCAATTCCAAGGTGTTCTCTCTGCTTCAGCTGAGGTAGACATGGTCGCTATTGATCACGGTGAACATAGCGAAATAGTGGAAAGTAGAGCTTGGAGCTGTTTCAGTAGAATAGTGGAGTGGTAAGGTAACGCTGCTAGAGCGGAGGTTGAGAACAGCAGAGTTGGATAACGTTTTTCTAAAGGAACTTTATTCACACAAATTTGGGTCGAGTGAAACACTTTTTGTGAATTTGTGTCGAATTCACCAAATGGAGTCAGTCGGGGGAAAAAAACAATTCCAAAAAAGTCAAAACATTTTGTATTTATGATCCTAAACCACCTTTTGGTTTGAATTTTACTTCATTTTTATTAAACCAGGTTAAAAACTCAAACAAAACGCTTCATTTGACCTGATGTGCAATTTTTCTGATTCTTTTATTTCACCAAATTTTTTTTTTTAAAAATTTGCTTTGGGACAACTCAGGAAAAACTTTGATTCGGCCACTGAACTGACAAATCAGTTATTTGCACAACTCTAGAGATGAGCTCACTGTTTAACTGCCAATGTTTCTAGTTCAGACATAATTCTTTACTTAGCTTGTGAGGCCTGCTCTTTGGGGCAGGAACTGGCCTTTGCGATATGTCTGTCCGGATCTTGGCACGATGGGGCCCTGACCTCAGTTAGGGTGTTCTGTATTACAGTAAAAAACAACAGAGAGTCCTGTGGCACCTTATAGACTAACAAATGGATTGGAGCATAAGCTTTCGTGGGTGAATACCCACTTCGTATTCACCCATGAAAGCTTATGCTCCAGTACATTTGTTAGTCTATAAGGTGCCACAGGACTCTTAGTCTGGATCTGTAAAAAGCAACAAACACGGCTACCCCTCTGACACTATATTACAGTGTTACTTAGTATGTATTCACCATGCTTATTACTGTCACTGGAGGCTTCCTCTGAGTTGAAAACGATTGCAAAACTGCACTTCCATGAAGCTTTGAAATGGGGCTCCCCAGATCCCCTCATAGAAGTACTTCTCTCTCACTCTCTCCCCAGATAACAAGGGATTGTTCCGCCGATGTGTCAGTTCTTGACTTCGTACAAGAGGCACCTTTGACATCTGTGAAATGCACCCAGCAGCCGCAGGTGAGCTGTTACCTGTCTAGGTAGGCACGCTCCATTGGGATCACATAGCCAGGTACACTCTGCCCCCACGGTTTGTGTTGTCCCTTGACTGTCCCTAGAGGAGACTGATACAGAACCAGCATGGGTCAATGAGGGAATCATTCCATGTTTTCCTTGGCTGGCTTTTGGTCATCTCATCCTTGGACAAACCCATATGGAAACTCTTCTTTAAACATATGGGGCCACCAGACGGAGGAGGCTATGGCAGTCCCCATGGTTACGCATGGTGCTGCTGGGCCCACTCTGACCTATGTTAAAGATGTGTAGCTGCATCGTGGGCCCACCAGGTGTCTGGATATTAGTCGCTCCCAAGACAGAGACCCCTATTCTGCCCTCAATCTGCAGCTCCTGTGGGCATCGGTGGAAGTTGCTCACGAACTCTGACGGCAGCGCATGTCCCTGTGGGACTGGGTCTTCCTTTCTCTGGTGCGAGAGGGGAGGGAAATGCAGGAATGAGTCACCATAGGTTCCTCCGTCCTTCACTCTGACCATGGCTGGAGGGGGTAGAATCAGGGTTAAGATGAACGACCCTGTCCAGTTTTCAGAGAGGTGGCTGCAGCCCCAGAGGTGAGGCCAGGGATAGAATTGGTTTCAATCCAGGACCCATTCAGGATTGGGCAAGGGCCCGGGGAATTATTTGCCATTCATTCCAGCAGGAGGCAATCATGAGCTAACTGGGTAGATGGACGGTTTGGTTGAAGACTATGAAATAGAAACTGGACCTTGGGGGGGAAATATTGACCCTTCTGATCCTTTTGAATTCCAGCGGCCGAAAAAACCTAGCAAGAAACCAAAACCCAAGGCCCAGACTGCCCCCAAAGTGACTGTAAAGTACTTCACGTCGTCTTTCTCTACCGCGGCCCTGACAGCACCAGACGAAGACTAAAAGCACAGTCTGCCTGAGGTCGAATTAGGTTGCTGCCATCGTCTTCAAACGGCCTGTTTGCTTTCCTGCCACGCCACCATCTCATCCGACAGATAATTTGAGAGCTTTTGGGTCCATGTTATTCTTGGCTAGTCTCTTTCACTGTTTTTTTTTGCTTTGCTTTGGGATGACTGAGAGGCAGGCCTCAAAAAGCCCTTGCAAAATAGGGGAAGCCTTTTCGTTTTGATATTCTCTGCTAAGCCGCAACAAGGACTGAAGTGTGTGGCGGAGTTGCCCCTCGCTTGCAGACCTCAGACACGTTATATCCATCCCCTCCGGCTCCCTGCCAGGTTCCCTTCCAGAGACAGCCGTTCTCACGGGCCCTCCTTTGCTTGAGTTGCCAAAGATTTAGGCATTTTGGTGCCTTCATTTTCAGGTGCCAAATCTGAGATCCTTTAACGGGGCCTGATTTTCTGCAGGTGCTGAGCAACTGCCTTCTGAAAGCCAGGCCTGTTTTAAGGTATGTGAAACGGAACACCCCAAAATTGCTAGACACTTTTGAAAACCTTGGCCTTAGTTGAATTCTGAGCCCGTGACTAAAGGGGTGACACATGAGATTGCTGGGAAGAGATGGAGCTTCATGTGCGGTGCGCCAGTCATACCAAAGGCTCGGCCCTAGTCACAAGGTAGGGATCCTGGTGATGGGTTACTCCCACAGTTACTGGCCAACTCTCGCGGTCTCATTGCAAGTGTCATGACAGCTGGTGCTTTCCTTACAGACCCAGCTCCTGGAGTCACGTGATGATGTGAGAATCTGGGCTTTTCATTTTAAATCTATAAAAGCAGGTTTCTAGCCCTTGTGGGTGGGAGAAAAAAGCTTGAAATCGTGGTGCCCTGAGGCTCAGAAATCAAAAGGCTAATAAAAGAGCTCCAAGGATAGTAGCTTTAAAACCTCGTGATTTGCTAAGTCCATCTCACGAGTGTCAGGACCCTTGAGCTATGGTTTTGGAACGCTTGGGGCTGGCAATAGGGAGTCAAGGATTTCCCCAGGTACCACTCCTATATGATAAGCAGAGGGGAAAAGCAAGGCAGACTCTTGCAGGGCCAGAGGCTCTGCAGGGAAGGGCCGTGCTGCATGGAGCTGTTCTGAAGGGAAGGCTGAGAGGAATAGACAGAGCCAGAAATACGTGTGTGAGGAGATGAGCAGAACTTCACAGCAGGGGGTCGTTTCAGTCTTATTGGAATGGTTTCTCCTGGTGCCCCAGTAACTCCCCATGGCCGGGCCTCCTTCTCTGACAGCCCTTTCCAGCTTTGCTTTGCCCCGAGTCTCCTTCTCTGGCTGTCCAACAGCTTAATCCATAAAGGGGAAAAGGCTTCCAGTCATGTTGAAGGGCTCAATCTCCCCCAACCTCTTCCCCACAACTTTGCTGCTACTCCGGCATATGCTACTTTCTACCAGGGCCGGCTCCAGGCACCAGCTTAACAAGCAGGTGCTTGGGGCGGCCAAGGGAGAGGGGCGGCACCTACGGCAATTCGGGGGCGGCAGGTCCCTCACTCCCTCTAGGAGCGAAGGACCTGCCGCTGAACTGCCGCCACCAATCGCGGCTTTTTTTTTTTTTTTCCCCAATTGCCGCCGCTGATCGCGATTGCAGTCGCGGCCTTTTTTTTTTTTTTTTGCTTGGGACGGCAGAAATGCTGGAGCCGGCCCTGCTTTCTACATATGTTCCCAGGTCAGCTTCTCTGGCCTCGCACCTGCTCCGAGTGGGGCTGCTGGTCAGTGTGGAGCGATAGTAAACAGTGCCCCCTAGTGCTCCAGTTTGGAACCGCCCTCCCCGGTAACTTTTTCCTTTTTCGGCAAAACACTCAGTTTAACGTCATTTTTAAGCCTGCTTCTGCGCAATCTCACGATCCTCTATAGAAATAAGCACCAGTACAGTATAGCCTCGTTCCTCCCCGGCCCTACATAGACGTAATCAATTGCATTCCTTGATCATAGCATATAATCGGTCGTTTCCCCCCAGAGCATGTAATCACTGCCAATATTGAAGATCCAGGGCAAAAGTTTCAAAAGTGTCTAAGTCCCATTTTCAAGAGACTTAGGAGTCTACGACTTGGTGTCAATCTGTGAGACTTGGGCTCCTAGGCGCTGTTGAAAATTTGCCCCCCGGCTGTGTCTTGTCTGATTTAACGTATCGTTGTAATAATTGTTATAATCGTTGTAATGTTGTAATAAAGATATCGGCTACGTTGTGTGTGTGTGATCAGCTGTAATGTCAGCCTGGTGACTTGTGCCCTCACCAACACCCCTGTGGTTACGCTCGTGTGCGCTCACCAACGCACCTTGTCTTTTCCCGTTCAAAGAGAATGGGCCTTGTTTTTCTTTGCTGCAGTGTGTGCACCCGTCTAATCGGCAACTCCACTGGTCTTGGCTCAGCAGGAGAGCTCCTTTCCTAGCAACCTCGGTGAGGATGAGGAATGGAGACCGATCCTGCCTAGTGTTTTTCATTTGCTAATACGGACAGATGCCTTCCTTAAGTTCAAATCCCCACCTGAGTGTGTCCTCTATCCCTCCCCAGCACAGACGGGAAAGCCACAGCTCGGTGCTGGGATGTAGAGACAACGGCAAATACATTACAAATTAAAATGCCACCACACTTTATTGTAACAAGCATAACGAGCCACATGGAATTAACAACCCAGCTATCACTGGCAGGAGTTTGCCCGAAGAGGGTCAGCTGTGATTCTTCAGGCCTCTTGTTCCTCCAGTGTGGGGCTATGGAGAGCTGCTGTCAGGTTCAATGTGGCGGCAGCCCTGGGCTCTCTAGTCCTGGTCTCCCTTCTTGGGGGTGGCCTTGTCCTATACCAGCCAGGAGACTCTGGATCACTGGCTTAAAACTCTTTTGGATTTTCTTCCCACGTTTTTTGGATTTGGACTTCCTCCTGACACGAGCACGCTAGAAAGAGAGAAAAGCTGGTGAGCATTTCCTGGGAGTCGGGCATCTGCTCTGCAAGGGCAGGGTTTGCTTTCACGGTGGCTCTCTGCCTTCCCCTACACCGGCCCCGCTCTTGCATGTTTCGTCGTGCAATGTGGCGAAATCTCCTTTTAGATGCGGTGCTCGGTCTCCCCTTTCTTAAGAATGTAGCAGAACTGTCCTGCTTGGGTCGAGAGCAGGAACCGAACCTGGGAAGTCTGGTTCTAAGAGCATCGCTTCATCTGCTTGACTAATCCTTCACCAGTAGCTGATGCATAAAACGCTCATCTGGGCCAGCCACTCGAGGGGGACAAAGACCCACATGCTCCCAGTGAGGGCTGCCATAGGAATTTGCCACCCTGTTCTGGAGCCACAGCAGTGGTCCCTGTGGTATGGTGTCTTTGTCTCCAGCACCAGGTGCTTCAGGTGAAGAAACCCCTTAATGGTCAACTCTGGAATAACCTGCTGGCTGTGGGGGAGGTATCATCCTAGCTCCAGCCACTGAGGGTCGGGCTTATGCCCTGGAGCAGAGAGTTTATATCCCCTGGGCGTTTTTATCCTAG